GGAAAAAGATCATGAACCTGATTTTCCAGTGTGAAGTCTGTACAGTACACACACTATCTGTGCAGAACACGTGCGAAGTCTGTATGCCGTGCACACGGGAGATTGGAAAGACTCTCTTTTCAATGTGAGCATCTGTTGGTATTCCCTGGGGCAGGCTGCCCGGCAGCAGGCTCACAGGTGGAACCACTCGGAGGCAGTGCAGGCATCACCATTTGGGCAGGGGTTGGGTAAGAGCCCAGGAGCCCCTCAGGGTTCAAACTTGTTCTTTTCTTGTAAGGTTTCAAAGACTTAAGACAGAAGAATGCTGATACAAAATAAAAGAAACTAACAACTTTATAAGGAAACATGGCTGAGGTAACATTAAAAGAGTAGGACTTACAAACTGTTATTTAAAGTATTTCTCATTAAACATGCTCACTAAAATGTTTTTCCTGATAATTATTTGTAAACCTCAGAACCACAACTTTTCAGTAATATATAGACATAAGTTCAATATAATATTAAAATTGAAAAACACTCCCATCCTTTGAATGACTCTGGAGTCTAGATTTTTATCTAAAATACTACCCTAGTCTTCCTTTTATGAACATGAGTATTTACTACGTAAACTGTTAAAATCCTTCTGATTTCCAACACCCAAACAGCTTTTAAGTGTCTTTACTGTGTATACTTTCAATAGAATGGTTAAAACAACATTTTTATCTTATCAGGAAGTATATGAAAATACATTTTTAATTTAATGATATCTGTCTAACTTTTTTGAAGACTTTGTTATTCTTGCTGATAAAATATGCTCCAATTATCTTTATTATTATGCTCAGCACACTTTCTAAGGAAAACACCATTAAGGCTTGTCCTTACTAACATCAACACTGGCATTAAAGCACTCTTAGTGTAGATTAGCTGTCTTCTCTAACAATGTCTGATATGTTTAGAAAACAACCTGAAAATCAAGTCACCAATTTTTTACTACCTGGAAATTCATTCATACTACAAAGATCTTAAAAAAAAAATTTGGGACATGGGTAAGATAGTCTAAGTGGAGTCCAGGCCCTAATCTTCTGTTCTGTGCTTGACTGTTACTTACCTCTTACTTCTAAGATACGCAACCTGCCTTAAGCTTCCGATAACTGAACGATATTCTGGCGCATAAATCCCCCCAAACTGTCCCCTCCGTGCGAGCAGGAACTAATCTACAGGATGGCTCATTTGCCTCTCCTAACTCAAAAAAAAAAAAAAAAAGCCAAATGATTTACTTCCACGTAATACTAAAATTTAAACAGCTATGTGAAAACCTTCTTTCTAGTGTAAAAATGCTCTGAAAACAAAACTTGAGAATCCCACTGTAGAATACAGCCCATGTACATGTCAGTTTCAACACATACAAACAGAACAGAAAAAAATCTAATGAACTCAATTATATTTTAAAATTTAAGAGTCACACAAATAGAGACTTCAACAAATGTTTCACAGACTATAACACAGATATTTGCGCTGTGTTTATTACATGTTTATTACAACACTGTTCAGAACAGCTAAGGAAGTGACCAAAGTTTTGAGCAACTTTGGTAAATGGATAGAGATAATCTGAGCAGAAAAATTCCACATAGTGGAATACTGTTCAACAATAAAGAGAATACAATCCCACATTTGTGATACCCTCAACCAGACGGGGAACAACTGTGCTAAGTGAAGTAAGCCAGGCTTAGAAAGGCAAGTACGGCAAGTCATCACTCACGAAACCCACAAAGTCGATCTCAGAGACACTGAGACGGGAACAATTATGTTCTCCTCCAAATGATTAAAAAAGAACAAGTAGACGGCACCTGAGGAGAGACACGAGGACATGATGGGGATGGCGTGACTGCCACATGCACACACCTACCTCCAAACTGTTCAAACTGAAATAAATCAAAGTTGCCTAGTTTTTATCCATAAGCAGATAAAAAAGAATAAAACAAGTGTGTTAGCATAATTTAAGCCACTTTTTTATCCCCCTAGTTTATGACTGGCCAAGTCAGGGTCTATATTAAACGCATTTACGATTCCTTTCTTTTAAGCTGTTTTTTCCTTTTCTCATAACCAAACTTTGGGCAGAGTGCAGGGAATCATATGAAAGAAGAGGGAGGTAGAAAAAATGCTGCCTGGAGAGGACAGGAGCTCCACAAGGAGAGCAACTGAACCCAAATATCTGGGCACAAGGGTCTTTCCTGAGACTGATACTCCAACCAGGGACCATTCATGGAGATAACCTAGAACCCCTGAACAGAGGTAGCCCATGGGAGTTCAGTGTCCAAATGGGTTCCTTACTAAGGGGAGCAGGGACTGTCTCTGACATGAACTCAGTGGCTGGCTCTTTGATCACCTCCCCCTTGAGGGGGGAGCAGCCTTACCAGGCCACAGAGGAACACAATGCAGCCAGTCCTGATGAGACCTGATAGCCTAGGGTCAGACGGAAGGGGAGGAGGACCTTCCCTAACGGTGGACTTGGAGAGGGGGCATAGCAGAAGAAGAGGGAGGGAGGGTGAGCTTGGGAGGGAATGAGGGAGAAGGCTACAGCTGAGATACAAAGTGAATAAATTGTAATTAATATAAAAAAATAAAAATTTAATTATATTAAAAAATAATCCAAAAAAATTATTTATTTTCATGTGCATTGTTGTTTCGCCTGCCTGTCTGTGTGCCTGTCTATCTTTGTGAGGGTGCCAGATCCCTTGAAATTGGCATTATAGACATTTGTAAGCTGCCAATGGGTGCTAGGAATTGAACCTGAGTCCTCTGGAAGAGCAACCAGTGCTCTTACCTTCTAAGCATCTCTCCAGCCCAAATGAAGTCACTTCTTTATCCTGCTGATTTACGACTGTCATAGTCATGGTCTTTATTGAACATATTTGCTCTTCCTTAATACATTAAAAAATTGTAATTTGATCAATGAACAAGTTTTTGGTTGGGTTCTGTTTTGAAAGAGCCAGCTACACGAGCTCCATCTGAGCATCAATCAGTGACTCATCCTAACTAAAAACAAAGTGCTGGGAGCAGAGGGAGAAAGAACCCATGATCAGGAAAGGATCTCAGGCTCTTTGAAAGACACAAAGCAGTTCAGGGCCATTTACAAGGTAGAATAAAACAAAACAAAAAAACCAAACCAAAATACAATAAACCAAACCAAACCAGCTTTTGCTCATGTAAGCAGTTTGCAGAGAAAGTGACATCATGATGGCTCACCATCATCTAAACCCAAGTAACTCCATTTTCTATAGCTTCCTTTCAGGGAAGAAGTGGATTCTCTTTATGAAAAAACAGATAAATCGCCAAGAAAACAGCCACGAGACCTCAGCACTGCTGAGGCAGCAGAAGGAGAAGAGCTGCCATTCTTACTTCCATGCTGAAGGGAAGCTGTTTTCTTTCACTTGCTCAGAATCTCTGTGAAAAACTAAAGACAGCAGCGACAGAGAGAACAAACTGCCCTCACTTGTTATTCACACTGGGTCTGGCCCCAGAGCCACCTGCCAACTAGAGCTGCTCAATTATGCTCAGGCTCATTACCCAGCTTCTTTCGTCCAATCTTTGTTGCCTTTCCTCCCTCCTCTCCACATTCAGTTCACTTTGGTGAGAACTTTTGGGTCTGCAGAAAAGCGGGGAACACACGTGACATTTGTTCTTCTGTGTAGAACAGCACTCCCGGCTGCTCTTGGCTGTGAGTAGAGCTGGCGGCAACAATGTCAGAAAGGGGCCTCTCCTAACTCCACTGGATCCCACGATGTGGCAACATGCCAAGGTTGGTCAGGCATCTGTCAAGGGGACAGCATGGCTGTGGTAACCTGTACCTTTTCTAGTCTAGCTTTTCTGAAAGAATTATCAAGGGCCAGATTCATGTCAGAGTTACGACAGAGCAGGAATGGGGGAAGCTTAAGGAAGATAATAACATGCCACATCTCAACAGACCCAAAGCTGCCTCAAGGAATGCAGACGGGGAGATTAAGAAACTCTTTTTCTCTAGAATTGCCTAGTCTAAACTTAAAAGAAAAAAAAAAAAAAAGGAAAGAGAGAGAAAAAAAAAGAGAGAAAAGGTAGGTAGGTAGACAGATAAATAGATATCTTCCACTAAGGTTTGATTTAGCTACATTATTCTGTCAACTAGTCTGCTCAAATTAGAAAATATAATAGAGAAATGTAAACACTAAATCATAAAAGTGAGTACTAAGAGAATCTTGCCTCTCACTCCCCAGTGTTAGAGAACACCACCAGCTCTCTAGGACACGGCGCTGGGAACGGCACCTCCCACCCTCACCCACGGCACGGCATCTCTGCAGGTTCTAGTGCCTGGAAGACAAGATACTCTCTGCTGTGAACTAATTTTTGCATATTGTTTTGAATTTTTAACAGAAATTTTGGCCACAGTATAAGACAAAGCAACATAAACACAATACAGCGATCTCACACTTCCCAAGCACATTTGCATAAATAAATGCTTCCAAATTTTGTTCAATCCCATAGGTGTGTTTACACACACATATCCACATATGTGATGCCACCTTCCTGATTTGTTTTCACAAAAAAAGTGAGTTTATATGCTATATTTCAGGTTTATTTTTCTTATTTAATAAAGTTATCACCATCCTTTGAAATAATTTTTTAAAGCTACATGATCTTCAGTCAAGCATGTCTACATTACAAATGTTCAATGGCTCTCCACCTGAGTAGTGTTCAGACTGTGTGATCCGTCATTGATTTCTGACATTTCACCAGAACACACATGTCGTCATGGTAGCCACGATGTGAGTGCTACTACATGACAGGTGCCAGCAGCGCCCTCCACAGAGCCGTGTCTGCCTTTCATATTCCCAGCAGTACGGCATGGGGATGAGAGAAAGCGTGCTGAAGACATGCTGATGTCCACAAAACTTCTGCACCGTATCTGTCAGGAAAAATGCCAACTCCAAGTGGTCTATGGGCATCACAGCAAGAATGACACCCACATAGCAATGATTTTTACCTACCTTTTTTGGAAACTTCTGCCCCATTAAGCTCTTTTTGTGCTTCTTCAATTTTGTCTGCGAAAAAGAAAAATGAAAAAGCACAAGTCAATAAAGAATACGGTAGGTCACACACATTACTTATAAGCAGTGACAGACATGCAACACGTTGAATCCACTTATTTGTGAAATTTTTACTATTAAGGTAAGGATCCTTCCCTTCAAATCTGCAAACTTAATCAATTCACACTTACAAGAACTTCATTCAATTAATGTCCCCACAATACAAATGGCTGCATTTTTATTTGTTCATTCGTTTGTCCGTTCGCTTGTTCATGCACTCATTCATCCATTCAATAGACATGTAGCCCAGGTCTCACATAGCCTCGCTGGCCTCCAACAGTAAAATATAGTCTTGAAACTGTAATCCTCCTCCTTCCCTTCCAAAGTGCAGGGCTTTGGGCATTCACCTCCACATCCATTTTATTTAGTGGCAGAGACTGAAGCCAGGGTTTTATGCATGATGGGCAAGTACTCTCAAGCTAATATAGACCCAGCCTCTTACTGCATTCTAGATGCTCAATCACGTAACTAATAAGTATTTTGTGGGCTGAAAAGTATGTCTAAAAATAATGATTTCCTGACAGATGAGGTGTACCCTCGCAGGATTTGTTAAAACAAATGCTCTATTAGGACCACTATGACTAAAGCCAGATGGTGCCATAGATTACTATGGTCTGGGTAGTCAAGGTTTTATGTTGGTCACTGGGGGGGGTGTCTTTAGGACACAAGGAATTGCTCTCAAAAGGACTGAGGTTGCCTTCATGGGGCCTGAGTCAGTTCTTGAAAGAGATACTGTAAAGAACAAGCCTCTCTGACTTGTGGTCTTGCAAAGCAATCTCTGCCTTTTGCATCTGATCCAACCATGAGGAGATCTCCGAGCCATCTTCCCATGAGGTGCTCCAGCACCAGGTGCTGCCTTGGCTGAGGCCAAACTGGCTCGTGCAGAGACAGCACCATACTATTTAGACTTTTCATCTCCAAAACAGTGTGTTTCCCTTAGGAAGTAGCAGGCTGTGACTGCAATTCAGTAACAGAGAATGAACTAATACCAGGACTTAAGAGAAACATGAGAAATGAAGCTAATGAAAAATTGAAGGCAATGATAAATTGAAGAGTCCTATGACAGAACATGGCCTGTCCCTTGATAATGCCATAGTGTGTCTAAAAAGAGTCTGTGACAAAGAGGTAGCATATTAAAAAAAGGTCATGGACCTACTGAAGGGACACAAAGCTCCAAAAGGCAGGTGTAGCCCAGAGGCAAAAACATGTGGGCCAAGCAGGACTGGACCTGGAAGTACAAAGAACTGGGGCCGGTAGGACTGGAAGAGCAGCTTAGTGGTCAAGTGTTCACCACGCATGTGCAAGGCCCTGGGCTCAATCCTCAGCACTGCAAACACAAACAGAGGGATTTGGGTGCTGTTTCAGGACAGGGATAGAAGAGAAGGGTGGCCCCAGGGTCCACTGTTCACCAGCCTGTGGCTCTAGACACGGCCAGGCTTCATACATATATCCATGGTTAGCTTTGGTAACATTAACTTGAATTTTGCAAAGCTGTACAAATTTAATGATGGTGATGGTGGGGTAATTCATTCAAGTCCAGTGTGAGACCCAGTGCTTATCATAGAAGGCACAAATTCCCAGGGCTCTACTCTACTCAGCTGAGCACAGTGCCAATGACTACATAACACTTCAGACATCTCATCAAAGTATAATTCAGATAAATGCTCTACAATGTTGTGCCAAGTGGACAATAGCCTCTGCCCTGCCACATGCTACTAATCCAGACCCATCTCCAACTCTAAACCTGTCACTCCCAGCCAGGGTCTGTATGGCCCCTGGCTCAGGACCATACTCTAAATAAATCAAAGAAGCACCCCCCAAGAGGGGCGCTTCACCTCTGTTGCAGCTTCCCTTCTCCATCTTCTGCCAGAAAGGCAGAACTCAAACCATCTTCAATTCGTACAACAAACTTACTTCAACTGCTCATTGGTCATACAGGCACAGTGGGGACCACAGAAGACAGGAAGAAAGTGAGTGCAAGCTTTGAGGCCTTACACTACATTTCCATCCTGAGGAACTGAGGAACAAATGCATCCCTCAAAGCCTTGTCCATTTGCTTCCTGCATTATCAGACTCGGAATATAACTGAAGGGAGCTTGGGAAATCAGTGAAAATACCATAATGGTTCTCATTTACACACCAGAGTTATCTGTCATGAAATGATGAGCTGAAAGTGAAGGCAGACCCCTCCCCCTCCTTCTATTCCCCTCCCTCAAAGCAAAACATAGGGCCTGGGGATGGAGCATGTTTAATGTATGCAAGACCCTAGCCACACCCCAGGCCTAAGAAGAAAAGCCAAGAAGAAAGAACTTTTGAGATTTTTCACAAAGAAACAAATATTTGGGGGAGTGGGTATTTTTAGCCTGATTTTGAACATTAATGTTCATATCTAGAAACAATATGTTGCCTCACAAACATGTATAATTTATGTGGTTTTGTGGACCAGGTAAAACTGAAAATAAATAAAATTCAGAATGGTGTAAAAATGTAGACCCAGCATTAAGCATTAGTTTTTTTCTCAAAAATAGAACCCTAAAGGCAAGGATAAATGAAGTCTCCATGAACACAAATGACCAAAGAGTAAAGGGTATTGTTTAAATAAAATAAAGTGTTAAGTACATCCTTGATATTCAAACTATAAATAAATGAATCATATGACTTAAAAACAGAGCCCTTGAGAAACATAAAAAACTGTTATATTACCAAAGAACTATTATTACTATGCCAGCAGTTCATCTGAGCCTTAGTAATAAATAACAATGTATATATTATATGTGTTCACAATAGTAATGGCTGTGGCTTGTAGAGTTTATGCACACATAATTTGACACTATTTAAGGAAAGCAACTTTTTTATTAATAGACTCAATTGTAGCTCAAAGCAACAAAAACTTAAGGTTTAGCAAATACTTAAAAAATGGTTATTTAGGATACCAAGGCTGCCCACATCTGTGTGGTTATTTAGGCTACTGAGGCTGACCATTTCTCTGTACACTTCATACAATTCTTTACAAAAACAATCATGGCATCTGATCACAAGATACTAGTCTTCATTTTTCACTTTTCAATTCAGTTGCCTTTTGTCTTAGTAATAATACTATGAAAATGTGGGCCGTGACTTAGAACAACTGTATTCAGTATAGTAAGCTCTTAGCCACAGCCCCAGTCCAATGGGCGACCCGTACCTTCCACTGAAGAGTTGAAAAGTTTCTGTTTCTGTCAATTTTCACAGAATATCCTGTTTATATTTAACCTGTGCTGTACAGTTCTCCTAATACACAGGATGTATTCTCAACACTAACTCTGAAATTTCAGATAGAGGTCATGTATTCTGTGTTTGCAGTTCATATAAAATAATTTACCAATACTTAATGGAAGATACACTTTTCGCTGTGAGCCAGCAAGAAACACAGTTTTTCATTTAATCCATTGAGAGAGACAGAAAGATAGGGAGAGTGAGTGAGCAACAATAACTCAGCAACAAACATGTTCACATTACATCCTTTGTGTCCCTTACTCCTGACAATGGAAAGCCATGTCCCCAGGACATTCGCTTCAGGACGCACTGTTGGACGCCACACTGCCAACACAGCAGTCCTCAGGGCAACGCACCTCTGACGGTTAGTCTCGATGGTCAACTTGATGGGATCTGGAAATACGAGGAGACAAACCTCTGGACATGTCGTCACAGCCTTTCCAAAGAGGCTTTCCTGAACATGCGTAGCATCACCCCATGGGCTAGAGCCACAGACTTAATTAAAAAAAAAAAAAAAAAGGGTAAAGTGTTCCCTCTCTCTGCTTCCTGACCAGACACAGTGTCACAAACGCTACAATGGCCTGTGACCCTCCCCAACCATGAGACAAAAAAAAAAAAAAAAAAAAAAAAAAAAACCTTTTCTTTCCTTAAGCTGCTATTGTCAGGAGGTTTGGCACAACACAGAGGAAAAAACTTAATGTAATGTTCCAGCAATAACATCTACTCTAGTTCTTTAGGCAAAGAGGGGAGCAGAGGGTTGGAAAGATGGGTTATTTGATTGGGAGAGCCCCAACATGCCTTTGCTATCACTGTGGTAATCTGGAACCATCACTTCAAAGAGTCAGGGCTGCTGTAGGAAAGGTTTAATTTTGTCCGTGTCAGTGCTAACGCTGTGCCTCCTGCTTCTCAAGTTGCCCCTATAGTCTCTGCTCTAAACCCCAATGTCCTCTCTGACAGATTACTGAAATGTTAAAAAGTAGAGCACTTATTTTCTGTCATCTGATTGAGAAAGAAAGAAAAGAAAGAAAGGAAGGAAGAAAGGAAGGAAAGAAGGAAGGAAGGAAGGAAGGAAGGAAGGAAGGAAGGAAGGAAGGAAAGAAAATGGGCAATATGAGCATGCTGTTTCTTCTACTGGATGCAGCCTAACACCTACTTCTTCTCACCACTGGTCAGAACAAGGCCCTGATACTGTCTGTGAACTGCCACAGCCACTTCAGCGGCAGCAGACAGACCACAGTACAGCACAGCATCAAACGATGAGCCATACTGAAGTATGTGCAGGTACTCTTCAACACAAGGAGCTTTCCTAGTCTGTGCCAAATCCCTAAGCGATTGCCATTACAAGCAACCTCTCTTAACTTCCAAGCTTCGGATCTCCATGACCTCAGCTTACGCCATCATTCAGTTTCCAAAATGGTCCTTAAAAATACTCATGGAGGATACTCATGGGAGATGCTCAAGATGTGTTAGGGAAAAAAAGATGCTGAGCCACAAAAACGACTGGGTACTTATGTATCGGCTACAGGCAGGCAAGCCCACCACACACAGACACACAGCCAAGAGTAGTACATTAATATTTTTCATCTTATCCCTTACATTTTCTTCAATTACTCAATTACCTATAAGGAGTAGGAATATAAAAGTAAAAATTTTAATTAAATAGAAATGAATTCTAACAATGTGCTAAATTATGATGGTCA